TAGTTGTTGAACCTCGTATTGAATGCGCCACAAAAATACTCTATAAACTTTAATTATCGAATGTGTAAGAAGCATTTTACTGAAAATAAAATCACAACAAGTATTGCTCTTTCGACCCATAAAAATGGTGAAAGCTGTATTAGAGTACAGTAGAACGAGTACAAGTGAGCAATCAGAAAAAAAACAGAAGATGATTAACAAGGCTGTGAATGTCGGTATATGTGTGGATCAGAGTCGTCCATTCATTCAAAAGCACACCCCCTCACCCCCACCAACAGCTACAATCCACATTCCACACTCATAAGCACGCACATTCGCATTTCACTCGAACGACCCAATCCAGACAAAATACCACGACTCATATCTCAGAACGACATCAATACTCACATCCACATTGAAAAGCAGCGTTAAGATATGTTTTAGTGTATGTATTCGATAAGCAAAATTATAATTAATGTATACTTTGTAGAAATGTTCTTTTATCGAGTAGACATGAGTCGTTTGTTATAGTATAATTGTCGACAATCAGCCATAAGACGATTAGGATTGTACATCTTGTCCAGTTTTGTGAAAATAGTAAACATTCCAATAACATGTAGCGGAGCCATAAGAAGCATGGTGGCAGCTGTGCCAATTGCGACCGGCTGCTTGCAAGCTTCTTCAAAATCTTTAGGTGTCATGATATTTACTTCGGTCATAGGTGCTGTTGTTGAAGTAGTTGTCACCGCTAGAAAAATCATATTCGTTTATGTCAACCAGTTTTCCCAGTTGAAACGCAAAATTATAAATGACTCGACTGATCAATGCTTTCTTTACTAGCTGTGTGTCAAATTATGCTTGATACTACCCCTTTTATCACAAAATAATAAGTCTGACTTAAGATACATCAATGTATATTCAAGATTAGATGTCTTGAAATTTCATTTAAGTTGGATGCGCTACAAGCAGCCGTACGAGAAAAAATTAAATGCCTCTATTTGCTCTAACCAGTTGGGTTAATTATTTTCTCGACGATAGAGTACTCCTCAAAGCTTTTATTCATAAGAAAACTGTTAACAGAGATTCAGTTGAACTAACACTACGGATTCCAAGCAAGAAGTGCAATAATGGGTCAAAAGTATATCTAGTTTGGATCTAAGATATCGTTAGAGCTGTAAGTGTGAAATGGTTAGCATATCCAATGTTAGAAATGTTGATCGATAAGATCAGCTTGATATCAATGGCTTGAGTTCAAGAGTATATTCTGATGTATGTCGATTCTTCTCATGATTAAGTCGTACAGTGCGCGGTCAAAAAAGCATGTACATTTTTGTTTTTACTCATGAACGAATAATAAGGGTACTATGAAAATTTTCTCTCATATCAGGCTTTGTAGAGCTTTTTTCGTTGATCATTTTGGTAAAAAAGTTTTTTGATTTTCATTGAGTAATGATGATGTTATAGTCAAAATACTAAACACTGTCAAATAAAGTAGGGAAAAAAAGTTTAGCAGACTTTTAGTATTTGATTAATTTTTACGTCGTTTCACAACATCTGGCAGATGTTCTATATACCATTCGACGCAGAATTTAATGGGCTACATTTTGGTAACAAGCACTTATACTTCTATTATAGTTAATTATTAACCAATTATTAGTTAATTATTAATTAATTATTAGTTAATAATAATCAGGAAATAATCAATAAATTTTTGAGTTGTTTTTAAATTCTGACTCTTTCATATGAAAGAGCATTAAAAACTGAACAAAACTCTATAATTACTATTTGGGAGGCAACGAATTTAGTGAGGTTTTACTGTGATTTTCAGAGTATGTTCAGTTGTAATTAGATATAGTGCTCATTATTTTTAATAAATTCAACCATGAAACGGCACATGAAATACGTGAAAACTGGCGCATTTTGAAGAGCATCACTTCTTCTTTCAAACGGCATCTAGTAAGAACCCAACAACTCAAAAATTTATTGATTATTTACTGATTATTATTAACTAATAATTAACTAATTATTGGCTAATAATTAACTACAATAGAAGTATAAGTGCTTGTTACCAAAATGTAGCCCATTAAATTCTGCGTCGAATGGTATATAGAACATCTTCCAGATGTTGTGAAATGACGTAAAAATTAATCAAATACTAAAAGTATGCTAAACTTTTTTTCCCTACTTTATTTGACAATGTTTAGTATTTTGACTATAACATCATCATTACTCAATGAAAATCAAAAAATTTTTTTACCAAAATGATCAGCGAAAAAAGTTCTACAAAGTCTGATATGAGAGAAAATTTTCAGAGTACCCTTATTATTCGTTCATGAGTAAAAACAAAAATGTACATGCTTTTTTGGCCGCGCACTGTATGATTCAAAAAGAGAAGGAGCTTAAGGTTGAGTCAACCAAGAAGAGCAACAGTATGATAGACTGACTGAGTCGCATGGTACTTCTTCTTTGAATCGTGGTTCTCATGATAAGAAGAGGTATCATACATTAGGAGTTCTCCTAAGTTCAAGAGTTCAAGGCTGAGTGGGTCTGATTCATATACATCTCTAGTGTAACATATGTGCTAAAAATGTCATGCTTCTTGTCCTAAAAATATCTTAGATCCTGGTCAGGCAAATGCTCATCTATTACTGTGCTTTTGGATTAAAGTCAATAGTTTTAGTTCAATACAGTATCTATTAATAGTTTTCTCGTGAATAAAAACTTTGAAGATTATTCTACCACTGAGAAAATATCTAGCTCACTCTTTATAGTTCACTTGCCTTTTCGTTAACATACTTCTCTATGAATAGTTTTAACAAGGGTAGGAGCATTTGAAAAAAATTATCACAAAGCATACCCAATCTCGTCGTTTGATAGCCTCGAACCTGCTTTAGAATATGTTTGACAGAAAATTGTCTTATAGTCCGTTAAATATAGAAGAATTATAAAATGACATGAAGCATGTTTGATTATATGAAGCTACACAACTTTCTTTCAGCTATATAGTTCTTTGTACGATAGAAATAACATTATTATCTAGAGATGAAAGAAAACGCGGCGAGAAGCTATATATTTCCAACGACAGTTGAAGATCAGACTATAATAACATTGGTTATGAAGTTCTTAATTCATAGAATTGCTATCAGAAGCATGTCGTTTTTTTTGCAGCTAAGAAAATGAATTCACAATGCGCTTTTGTCGGCTGTTCTGTCATATTTTACTACTAGATCGAACTAAAGTTTCATATTGTAATTGATGGGAGTTTTTTAAGGCTGGTATCGACAGAGGTTGTGAATCCCTCTGCTAGACCAAATCAGTTTTTCTAACGATACTCAATTAACCAAAAACTCGACCAATCTTCACCGATTGATTTAGTGATCCTAAGTTTAGAGCTTTGAAAATTGTCGCTCCGATTCTTAAGTACAGTTTTGACAGAGTAAAACCTGTCAGAATCAGTCAGGAATGGATAAGATGCAGACTAGAAAATTATTCAAGCTTATCTTAACAAGTGGTTTTCATTGAGGGTAACACATCGTTTTGAATCAGATGTACACCATCCAAACAGATTCATTCGCATACAGTGTCATTTTTGAGTAGCGTCCGCTTAACCAAATATTTTGGCCTCTAGCAAGGCAAATACAAAAAAAGTACAGTAAGAAATTGTGAAGTGATATTTTGTTCATAAATAGGTGTGATCGTTATTGTAACATATTGTTATTATTAGTGGAAGAAAAGTTTAAAGCTTGAGACAGCGCATACTAACATAACAATGATGCATCATAAAGAAAAGTTAAAGGTTTGAGTATCTAAAAGATTTGATAAGTTATGACGAAAACATATTTTGGACTGCTATATTCATGAGTTTCTAATATTAATGAGAGGAATCTATTGGGCAAATTTCATATCAACATATCGTCACGCAGTGGGATTGTTTTTACCTTGTCAGAAGCCAAAAGTTTCATTAAAACTGTTATGACTCGAGAAGAACAACGGATGGAGACGAATCTTGTTGATTTTTTTTTGTATTCTTATCGAACACTACATACTGGCAGGCATTCTATTTAAAACGATGTCACACATCTGATGACTTGTAGATGCTTGGGGAGAAATTTATGAACAAAGGCAGTCAGTCTGCCAAGAAAAGTCATATTCTGACACATGAACGACCACTCTTCTCTCTCTTTGTCTAAAATGCATAGTTATCTCATGAATAACAAAATAAGACAGGAAGAACTATAATAAAACACAATCTACTGACTCCTACTGGTCTCATTCCGCTAGTCATTTTACCACATGACTCCTTAGCACAAAATCCTTTATCGGACTGACAGTCTTCCGGAATCGGTCATAATCAAGAAATGTCTGTTAGGAGAAATATGTCTGGTTTTTGTTAAGTAGTTTCTATGGTTCAACGAAAACTCTTTACATGGAGTATTCCTTCTTTGAGTTCTCGATATAACATATCGAACTGCTAGGAAAAAAACTATTCGCAGACATTTTCGTTTTCTATGCCAATACTCATCCTTCGGGTTTTTTCTCTCGTCACTTTCATGAAACAACAACTGATTTTCTCTTGATTAAGAGATATTCACTTGCGGTTGACACTGTAGTAGTTGTTGTAATTGTTGTAGTAGACATTGTAACCTGAGAAGCATTCGTTGTAGTAATAACAATTCCTGTCGTTGTTAAATTGGCTAAAGGTGTCGTCATTCTAAGAGGCTGAAGTAATCAAGCTCAAAAACAAAATCTAATAGTGAAATCTTATTCTTACTCGGCTAGTCACTGTATGAGTCGTGGGTGGCGTTGTTGTCGTTGTTGTCGTACTCGAAACAGCTGGGTTCCAGATATCGAAAACCCAAAAAGTCGAACTAGTAATTGGTGCTGATTCGGCATCTATGTAAAAGTTTTCCCATTTTAACTGGACCAATAAAACAAAATGTGACTTACGACAAAAACTGTTACCACTCGCGGCTCCTAAAAACACAATGAATTTAGATACGTTGTGAGATGATGTAAAGAATCTAACCGCTGTCGAATGTTACAAAGTAACTATGACCAGGTACCCAGGCAAAAGGCGCATAGATAACCATTGTGCTGCCCGAATATATAACATTTGGCGACCAGCCACAATCATACTTGAGTACAACTGTATTATTTAATGTGACATCATTGAAGTATACATAGGTTCCATTACGACTTGGTCGATTCATAAGCATTCCATTAACACCTTCAAAAATAAATTATTTTATTTAATATATATACAATGATTTTCTCACTCTGAATAGAGAATATGGTCTGGTTTGCAAACACTGTGCCCACTGGTGAAGCACTACCCTGAACCAAAAGTGGAGTCTGAAGATTGGGTGCTGTGAAGCCAACCAAGAAAGTTATACACCATGCATTCGATTGTACATTAGTATTGTCGACTGCTCCAGCACAAAACCCTTGTGGGCCGTATTGATCCGCAGAAGGAGTCCAGAGAAGATTAATTGTATAGATGCCTAGAGAGAGAGAGTAACATGTTCAGCAATTATATCAATCATTGTATAAGTAGGCATGCACCGAGCCCGAACTATAGTTCGGGGTTCGGACCGAACGGTTCGGATTCGGGTTCCGTCCCAGAGTTCGGGTTCGGTACGGGTTCGGATTCGTATGATCAAAGGTGAAACTATTCGTAGTTTAATAAAAAAAAAAAGTAACATTTTTTATATATATCTTATTCAACACAATGCACACACTCTCAAAGTAGTGAAAGAAGGAGGGACACGACTGAAGATATTACTGATCTATATCATATATATATATAACGGAAAACAGCATGTCAGAACTGAATTGAATCGATTTTTGATCTTTTTACATAAAACCATTGCTCACAACACAGAAATAATTCTCTGTGACGCAAAATATTATGGATAACATCTTATCTCCAAATAAGTTTTTGTCAAAGAGAAAAGAATTTTTGGGTGACTAATACGATAACTGTCTACTTATATCAGCCTATTGGAGAGTCCCTCTATCCAGTGTAATAAATTCATTAAATGATGAGAGTAGCATATTTCCTATAGCAAATCAGATAAAGGAACTCATTGTTCAGGAAGCATGATGATTTAATGAGAAACATCGTCGATACTTCAACAGTTAAACCTGTACATTAAGCTTTTGCTATTTTTTATCGATATAACATATGTCATTTTCAACAGAACTTGATAAAATAAAGTTGGATGCTGTATTAATACATAAATTATCTTTAATGGAAACGACAAATACCGACTCTTGCCTTTATTTTCTTGGTAAGATAGATCTATAACAATGGCATTAGAGCCGCAAAACAATTATTCAAACTTTTGACACAAATCTCTTACAGACCTCTACGAAAAAAATCAAGCCAATTTAAATAAAAATTGTTTTTGAGTTTAGGAATCGGTTACAATTAAAAGAACAGTGGAATATGGGCGATAAACTGTAAAAATTTTATGTATAATAGAAAAATATTTGTTACTAGCGAGAGCCCGTGCATACTGCAAGGATGCTTTTTTTCCTGTAAAGTTTCGCATCTGCCCTTTAGCCTCGATTGGGTAATAGACAATCAGTCAGTTCGCATTATATATAGAGAGAGACCTTATACCCTTATACCTTCGTACTCTTACACCTTTGTAGCCTTATACTATCGTGGCATTACCTCTTATACCCTAATTCCATTATTTCCTTATCCCTTATATCCGATGCAGCCTTATCTACTTATACCCTACACCCTTATCTCCTTATACTCTTTTAATTTTATCCCTTATGCCCCTGTAGTCTTAGCCTCTTATCCCCTAATCCCTTATAGCCTTATGGGCCTATGGATCCCTCTATATAATAGCCCTTGAGGACCTACGGGTACCCCTATATAATAGCCCTTAAGGGTATATGGGTACCCCCATATACCTGCTCTTGAGGACCTATGGGTATCTCCATATAATAGCCCTTGAGGATCCAGGGGTACTCTCACAGAATAGCCCTTGACGACCTATGAGCCCCCCCCCCCCCCCCGTATAACAGCCCTTGAGGACCTATATGTACCTTCATATAACAGCCCTTGAGGACCTATGGGTACTTCCATATAATAGCCCTTGAGGGTCTACGGGTACCCTCATATAATAGCTCTTGAGGGCCTATGCGTACCCCCACAGGATAGCTCTTGAGGATTTATGAGTACCCTCATACAACAGCCCTTGAGGACCTATGGATACCCTCATATAATCGCCCTTGAGGCTCTACCGGTACCCTCATAAAATAGCTCTAGAGGACCTATGAGCACCCCCATATAACAGCTCTTGAGGACCTATTGGTACCCTCATATATGATAGTCCTGAGAGTCTTCCCCTTATCGCCATATCTGATCTTTAACGTTTGACCCGGCACAGACACACACATACGCACACACTGAACATTATATATAGATGACCAAACCGATGAACTAGTTGAGATATATTCCGAACCCGAACCCGAACCCGAACTCTCGGACAGAACCCGAACCCGAACCGAACCCGAACCCGAACCGAACCCGAACCCGAACCGAACCCGAACCCGAACCGAACCCGAACTCACCGAACCCGAACGTTCGGGTTCGGTGCATGCCTATGTATAAGACTATCTCTGGTCTAACCCAATCAGCAAAAAATCATATACCATTTGGACTGTATAGAAAATGCTGAGGCTTTCTATTTTTTTCTTTTTTCTCTAAAATTCTTTACTTTCTTGACGAAGGTAACTAAAGTCAGGATACGTGTCAAAAATGTTCATCTCAAATACAAGAAAGAAAGAGAGTAGAACAAAAAAATATGTATTACCTGTACTAGGATTCATAATAGCACTTTTCATTAAGCCGATGGGTGAACTCGTAGTGAAATCGATGATCGTTTTACCGGAACATTCCACCTGTGCAATGACCGTCTCATTAGTGAGAACACCTAACGACTAAGCCAGTTCGAAAGAATTCTGTAAAATTTATACAACTACTTACCTATCGGTGTGCCGATACATGCTAGAAAAAAAGACAGATGCAGGAGAGAACGAGAAAGAAAGAAATATAATAAGCATCAACAAATGAAAAATCAAACCTAAATTGGGTCGAACACCGATTATGGTAGGTGCTGTAGAACAATTACTGGGAGCTGCTATCCCATAGAACATAAATTGAATTGGGACCGAACTCATGGGTGTCGTACTCGTTGAGTCATAGAAGTCTTCAATCTGAAGAGCTACTGCATAGTAACCACCCACACTTGAGATCGTAAAGACGAGAGTGCAGTTGTCTGAAAAGAGAGTGTATCCAGTAGGTAGACTCGGAGCACACACTGAGGCACATTCGTCGTATCCGTTTGTATTGGATGTTGGTGTATTATCAGTTGACCATCGACATCGCAGTGTGTCAGTGGAATCAGCATCGGACATTGGAATAATGTGAATATGTTGAACACCCACAGTTCGATAAATCACTGGAAGAGTAGTTGTAACTGGTGAAGTATTAATCAAACCATCAGGACGTACTGTAAGATCGATTTTACCGGTGACTTGCCAATAGGAATTACCACCGATAGCCAATGGCAACCAGTTACCGCCATAAAATCCCACTACAAAAGTACTACTAAGTGGAAGAGTAAGTGTATCATATACTTCTCCTGATGAACAATCAATTAATGTGCTGTAATCTGTACATATAACATCGGCACTTAGAGACGTGAATGAACCACAAGAGCCAACATTGCATTGTAAAGTGCCTGTGGGACTACCGATAATTTGCTGATTAGTGATTGTCGTAGTAGTGCACATGCTCCACCAATAACTACGACGCCACGAATATCGTTGGTGAATCAGAATTTGAGCATGTGTACCCGAAGGAGTAGTGTTCAGTGCTCGCCTATACGATACATAATCAAAATGACTATCAAAATCGCAATAACTCACCAGGTAATAATACCACCACGAAAGTGAGTTCCAACAGTTAATTCTAGTAATGCAGCTAGAAATACGAAGACCAATACTCGATAAGGACCCATCGTAATAGTTCAATATATAGAAGTGTTGAGAAGTGAACGCGCAAAATAATGACGGTTTTTATAATTTATGAAAATGACGTTTGATGGCGTTGTAAGCAGCTCAAGATTTTGTTGGACAAATGCAATCTACTACTTTGTTTTGCAATTTTTTTTATTATAATGTAAGCTCTTGGTGTACAACAGCAGAAAAACTCAGCATACGCTTCTTTCCTACAAAGTAAACATTACTATCAATGCTGCATGCACAGAACAAACATAGCTTTTCAATCTTCACTGTGTACATATATTTAAAAGTGAAAATACATTTTGAATGCCTGATTTATTTTTTCAAACGTGCTATTCCGTTCTGAATAAATCAGCGCAATACAAACAACGAATCGCGCACTTATCGGATCTCTCAAATACGAAGCGTCCATAATAATTCTGTGTTTCAAATAAAAATGCAACAAACATTTATGTAAATATGAGCTCCTTCTAAGTATTTTTTCATCCGACACATTCGCATACACTCACACTACTATGCAAATGTGGCCAAAGGTAATCCAGCTGTACTGAAAAAGCTGTTAGCGCAATCCCTTGCGGGATTAAAAATGTGAAACACGATGGATCTATTGTTACTAATTAAATGGAAATCCTTTTGTTCCATTTCTTTGCGACACATTTGTGGTTAACCGTTTATCTGATGCTTTACAACTACAGTTTCTCTGTCAC